CCCTTTCCCACTCCACCTGCTTGTGTTCCCTCTCTCGCTCTCTCTATCAAATAAACAAATAAATAAAATCTTTAAGAAAAAAGAAAAGAAATGCACAGTTTGTTTTCCAAATATTTGAGAGATTTTCTAGACATTTCTAATTGTTTTTCTTGTGGTTAGAGAACATATTATATAAGATTTCAATCTTTTGAAATGTAATGGGAATTGTTTTGTTTCAGCATATGATCTACCTTGTTGAATGTCCCATGTGAACTTCAACAGAATATGTATGCATCTGCATTTATAAGGTGTAAAGTTCTATAAATGTTAGGTTCCAGATGGCTGGTATTATTTTTCAAATCTTTTATATTGTTGTCATTGTTATTCATGGTTTAGGTATTCTCTCAATTACTGAAAGAAGTGTGTTAAAATCTTCACATGTGATTGTGGATTTGTCTCCCTTAACGCTTTTTCAGTTTCTCTTTACGTATTTGGAAATTCTATTATTGCTATTATGTGCATGCCCATTTAGGATTGTTAATCTTCCTGATTAATTGACCTTTTTAAAATCATATGAAATGTTCCTCTATATCTCTCATATTTTCTTGTCATGAAGTCTCTTTTGTTTGATATTAATAGAGCCATTCCAGATTTCTTATGTTTACTGTTTGCATTTTCAGTTACTTTCAGTATATCTTTGTTTGAGATAGTTAATTACCTTAACCTACACACATATTTATAATTTAGTCCTTTAGACTTGAATCAAATAACTTAGCTAGAGCATCTAGGTAGAAGTTTTCTTTTGAGATAAATTGCCAAATATATGTGTAAATTAATGAATTTCCTTAATTTTCTCTATTTCAGTAAAATTTGTAAGGGGATAAAACCCAACTCATAAAATTGTCTCTAGTAATTGAGAGGACAAATAGATTTAGACATAGAAATATGATGAGTTCAAGATCTGAATTTCTTCTATGGCATGAGTTACTTTGAGAAATTACTATGGCTTTAAACAAATTAATTGATAACCCCAGAGTAAAAGTGAACACTGATACAGCTAAGGCTGTATTTGAGTAACCCATTTATAAGATGAAATAGATTAATATTATTGCCAATAAAAGAACTCTTTCAGGGTTGGAAGATAGAATGTTAAAAACGATTCTAGAAATTCTTAATACAAAAAGCATTCCCTAAAAGAAAAAAAATGGACACCTAATGCAGTGCTGTTCTGCTTATACTTTCCATGGGAACTAAGGTTCAGGCTTGGCCATGGTGTTGTTATGAGGCTGTTTCTTGGCTATCATGAGTTTGGGTTGGTAATCTCAGATTGGTCAGATCTAAATTTTGAGGAGGACAGCAGGTTTTGATGGGTAGAAGAAACAGGGAATTTGGAAAGTTTGATGTAGTTGCATGTAAAAAGTAGACAGTAGTTGTTAGGCCACAGGATTGCTGACACTTCTGACCTTGAATGGTTCCTGTTATATTGGTAGAGGTTGGGTATTGGTTACAATGGTGGAAGGAAAGGGACCACTTCCTGTTCCAGATGCCATCACCTGGTACCAGGAATATGTGCCTTGTGGTGTTTTTTTGTTGCCCTTTGGAGGGTACTGTGCTGATCTTCTAGAATGGCCGGCAGCTTCTTCTGATATTCCCTAGTTGGTTAGGGGTTGTTATAGTGGTACTCAGTGGGACAGGAGATAGGTAACATGGATCCAGTGAATTGACAGGTTTTTGGTGGAGAAGAGCATTGTATTGATACAGGATGCACATTCTGTGGTGTGTCTGATTTTGGAGGATACAATGCCATAGAACTAGGCTGGGAGTCTGGGCAGGAGCTGGTGGGAACAGACAATTGTGGATGAAAGCTTGAGGACCAATTCTGAGTGATGGCTTAGCTATATTGCCTCTGTGTGTTTGTTGTCCGGAGCAAGTTGAGGGGCTGAGTTTAAAGGGACAAAAATTCAGATGACATCATGTGCTGGAAGATGTCGGGAATCAAAGTGCTCAGTACCTGTGAAGCAGTCCCTCTCTTTTAGTAGGCTATTTTAGGTTAGCAAAAAGTAGAATTCTATTTTGTTAAATGTAAATCTAGGTGAATGTAAAAATGTATTAGACTTCTTTATAAATGAAGCCCTTTGAGAAGACATGAAGCATCGTCAGTTGCTCTCTGAAATTCACAGTGGTCCCCTTGGTGAGATTTAAATGAGGGAGATAGATGAGAATTAGGGTACCTTTTCAGCCTTAAAGAAAATGTTTTGTGGGGCTGCTCCTGCTTTCTTGAGTTGATAAGTCTTAAGTGCACACAGAAGGGAAGTATAAGAAGGTCTTATGTGACAGTAACCAGAAAGCCAATCTTATTTCCTAATGTGTCATTTACAAAGTGGGACTTCTTTGAATAGGGTCTTTTACATTTTCCAGGGGACTCTGCCTTGTCGCCTCCCCTCCTTAGTCTGCGATGCTCCTTGCAGAAACCTGCTGCTCCTCTCCCCACTACTGGCCGAACCTCTCGCAGTGGCCGCTTCTGATTATTTCTTTGGCTTCTGGTTTCATCCTATAGTCTTCCTAATTTTATGACATGTAATTTTTTCCATTTCCAGAGTGTAGCCTCATAAAAATTCCAAATATGTGTTTATGGATTTGAGTTCTGCAGATCATCAGACTTCTTCATATACCCTGTGACAACAAGGTGTTTGTTTTTGTGATAAGGATTATGTCCATATCAATGTGTGAAATACCAGTGTAACTAGGAGAACACCTATAATTCTTCTGAATTATATTTTTAAATGTGTGTAATAGGAGGTATCAGGTTCTTTTCCCTTCTAGGGATTTACACAGTGGAGGAAGATGGTTGAGGATTGTGCTGTATGTACATGACTTTGCATTTCTGAATCCGTGTACTTTTTGCTGACTTATAAAATGTGATGCAGGGGCGCCTGGGTGGCTCAGTCATTAAGCGTCTGCCTTCGGCTCAGGTCATGATCCCGGGGCCCTGGAATCGGGCCCTACATTGGGCTCCCTGCTCCACGGGAAGCCTGCTTCTCCCTCTCCCAATCCCTCTGCTTGTGTTCCCTCTCTTGCTGTGTCTCTCTCGATCAAATAAATAAATAAAATCTTTTAAAAAAATAAAATGTGATGCATTTTTCCCACATGAAATTCTGCAGCATTCCTTGCCAGAATCCAGGGAAAGCCTTCCCTATGACAAAAAAGAAGCATTGAGGAGTCGAAAGGGAGGGTGGGGATTGAAAACAGTTATTAAGAGACTCTGTAGACAGTTAAAACCTATGATTAATTAACTTTTTCAACATGAGGAAAATGATAAATAGTTTGCCTATTTTGATGAAAATGAAAAGAAAAAAAAGCAAGCATCCTTTTATCTTTACTAGCCTCGTGTCACGAACAGATTCTCTTTGCTGGGAAGGCTTTTAAAGGCCCCCTTAAGGGTGCCTGGGTGGCTCTGTCATTAAGCGTCTGCCTTCGGCTCAGGTCATGATCCTAGGGTCCTGGGATCGAGCCCGGCATCAGGCTCCCTGCTCATCGGGAAGCCTGCTTCTCCCTCTACTGGTCCCTCTGCTTGTGTTCCTCTCTTGCTTGTCTCTCTCTGTCAAATAAATAAATAAAATCTTAAAAAAAAGAATTTAATAAAAAAAGGCCCCCTTAATAATTAAGTAGAAAGATTTGAAATCTTGAGTAACTACGGATTCTTTTATGTAAAATTTCACATGATGGTAATCTGCTGAGCACTTCACAGTACAGTGTGTGCTGAAACTATAACAATAATTAGAGAATCTTTCATCTGAACCTAATCCAAAAATCAGATGTCAGACCTTGTCCAAATTTCACTGAAACTAATTCACCAAAAAGTCTTGTACTATCTTACTGTTCTGGCAATGCCCCAGACTGATATTTGATAACTGCATATTCCATCATCATAGTACATAGGGACTTCCTCCTGTACTCACTTTATCCCATCATATTCATCTCAGTGATTTAGGGAATGTTCTTCAGTTTCTTGCTTTACGGGCAAGACAAATATTTATTGTAGGGTTCACATGAGATAAAATCTGGCTTTTTCCCTTATAGCTTACCCTCTCCTATAAACCTGTGTATGAACTAGATTTTATCTTTCTTGTATTTTCTTTAGTCAGGAATTATTTTGGTGAAAGTTTATGGGTATACTGTAGAAAGGCATAAGTTTAGAACTGGAAGTAGTCAAGAAAGGTTGCATCACAGAGTCAAGAGAGACTGATGTGACCTTCAGGTCAACTAATTAAATTCCCCTCCTAATCCATTCTTCCTCTAGTGCCATGCTCCCTGATATGTAATTGACAAAGACTTACTGATGAGAGCTGGGGTTAAGAGCTGGCCAAGCAGCCTTCTGTTACTGCCTTGACCTATATTGATATATTCATTCATTCATTCACTCATGCACTCATTCAAATATTTAGTTGCCAATCCATGTTGATGGCATTGGGAATACAGTGACTAGTAACTTCCTGGTTGCTCATATTCGAAATTTTTTAAAATAATTTTTTAAAGATTTTATTTATTAGAGAACATGAGAGAGAGAGAGAAAAAGAGAGAGCATGAGTGGGGTGAGGGGCAGAGGGAGAAGCAGACTCCCCACTGAGCAGGGAGCCCGATGCAGGGTTTGATCCCAAAACTTGACCTGAGCTGAAGGCACTTAACCAACTGAGCCACCCAGGCGCCCTCATATTGGAAAGTTTTTAAAGTTTTTCTGCCCTACCTCCAAAATCCACTGTGTCCTTTGGGTTAGTGGAAGGAACACCAAATTCATCTGAATGAAGGAGCATGTATCTACATGTGGACACAAAAGGCCTGAAGTCCACAAGCTTAGTGGAATTTGGGGAAAGCTGATCAAAGATGGAGATTAGAGAATTTAGGGGACAGAATTCTCATTCCATTGACTGTGTTTCGTCAATTCTGCAGGCACTCTGACAGTTTCAAAGTTCGGAGTATGTTGAATGTGCTATTATTTCATTCTTACGCCTCCTCTTCTCCCAAGCTGTAGTTGAACTGATGGTGTGTTTTACAGTTGAAGATCTCTTAGAATTGAGGAGGTGAGCGCTACAGGCTAGAGCTTCTCATCACAACCATGACATGATGGGTGTAGACTTGAGGCTTCATTCAAAACTCATCTTCATTTTCCCTATGATTTGTAATTTGAAAAATATAGAATAGAGAGTATTTTTGTAGGATTGGTATTTAAGACTTTTTCTGTTGTGTATAGCACATTTCATAATGTTTGTTGTGGAAAACTTGGAAACTATAGAAAAGCATAAACAAGAAAATGAAATCAGACTTCTTCAGCTCATGCTCAGTGTTTTGTTTGTATTTTGGTGAATAACCCTGGTCTGTCTCCCTTGCTCCTCCTTCCTTCTTTCTTTTCTTTTCCTCTTTCCTCTCCGCCTTTCTATCTCTAAATCTATCAATATATCAGTCTCTGTCTCGGGATTCCCCCTCCCCATTTTCCAGTTTTACTGAATTTACTGTTGTTTTATGTTTACCCTGCAGTTAACATCATGTGGGCAATACTCTCCCATAGTTTTAAATATTTTAAAAACATTTTCAGTTCAATTGTATATTATGTCACAATTGAATGCATCTGTTAGATATTCAAGCCGGTGATAGGTTTTGTTTTGTTTTAGTAATTATAAATAATCCTGTAAGATCATCTGTGGGCATAATGCTTTGTATGTAGCTCTGGTCATGTTTTTAAGGTCTTAGAACTTGCATTGCTGGTCCAAAGGGGGATAAGTATTTTGGTGTTTGATACACATTAGGGAAGTATCCTCCTGAATGGCTACCTAATTTAAACTTTCACTTCTTATATAGGAATGATCTGGGGCTCTTTAGTTCGTGGAATTTTCATCAGTGATCTTAGAGATGAACAGAATTTAGAATTCAGGATTATAATTCAAAACCGTTTTGACAGTTTAGAGAATTGGTTAGTTGATACAAATTAAAGTTCAGTAGGTGAAAACGAGGGTAGGAGAAATAGGGCAGATAAAAATTGCTGAAATACTGTTTGCAGAGTAGCCATTTCTGCATGCACTGCTTGAAGGAGAATCCAGGGGTCATAAGGAATGTGACTAGATTTCTCTGTAGCCCTGTGGGGACTTTGCTACGGTAAGGTCTGTTCTCAAATGTAAAGAAAAGAAAGCTCATTTGGGCTAATGCTGTATTCTAAAAAGACTGCTAAGATTTTGTGTTTTCTGCTGTTAAGAATTCAAAGACACTAAATACCTTCTTGGGGAAGATTTAATGTTCATTTTAATTATTTACGATAATTATTTGAGCATAAATTGAATTTTAAAAAGGCTTTCTGAAAGTTACTACCAATCTTTCCTCATTTAAGTAGAGAATATGTTTAGGAAGCTCATATTTTTTTCCACGAAATTTCAGGGGAAATAGAATTATCTTTACCTTGCAAATGGTACTTTGAGGATAAGAATGTTATCCTTAGATAAAAATGGCACGTGTTTATAAACACGCACACTCTAAAATATGAGGAAGGGGTTTAAAATGCCTGCTTTCTGTTTGGTTGTAGGTTGTAGTTCTGTGTGTGTTTTGAGTGTAATTTATAATGTAGAAGGCTGTACCAACATATCTATTAGCAATCAGTTCTTTTCACTTGTGGTACAATTCTAGTTAGTGTTCAGACGAGTGACCCTGGGATAGTTATAATCCAGAAGGACTTTATAATTTGTTCTTTTTTTGTTGACTGACACTCAGCATGATTTTAAGACTATTAGCGAATCACATATGATGACTAAAAATCAGAACATTTAATTAATCAGCTCACTTAAATCAATTAATTAAATATCTTTGCAAGATGACAGGTCGTTTTCTGTGTTTCTCTTATCCAGAGAATTTTATTCTCTTGTACTAATAAACAGGTTTTTTTTTTTTTTTTTATTTTTTAGCCTAGATTGCCACCATTCATAATTGAATGTCAGCTCATGTTCTAGCCAAAACACTTTAAATAGGTTATTATTTTCATTATTGTTATTGTTATCTTTAGTTAGTACTATTATGTCTGGTGGTCAGCTTACTTCTTTAGGAAGGTCATCTAGGCTGTGTGCTCTCTGTACACAGGTGCTCTCCCGAAGCACTGGGAGACACGGAGTCTGGTCCCCATCGCGGACACAGCAGATGAGGGATGAACCAGCCAAGTGACATGGTGGCTGTGAAAGCTAAAATAAGTGCAGCTATAATTCTAATTAATTTGTCTATCTTAATAGCAGCATCCGGTCCTGGGTATATTATACAGCTGCAAAAGGCTAAAAATATGGCAGCTGTACTTTGCTTTTGGAAATCTATTCTTCATAATTTTTTTCTAATTATAATTTGATATATGTTCATTGTCAAAGATTAGGAAAATTTAGAGAAGTATCTGTAAGATAATAAAAATCACCGATAATTATATAGTAGAGATAAATCCTATTTACGTTTTTTGTATTTCCCATTTTTTATATAATTGGGATCCTATTACACATATAGTTTTATGTCCTCACTGTTTTTCCACTCAGCATGTCATTAGTACTTTCTCATGGTAATAAAAAATATCTCTGAAAACCCCTATTTTAATAGATGATATTCATTTGAATGGTCATATCATTATTTACTTTACTATTTGGTTGTTGGTCCTAGTTTTCAATGATAAATTATTCTGTTATGAACATATCGTACATACATTTTTGTGTTGATCTCTGATTATAATAAAGCAGTATTATGCTTCCTCTTAGCTTGTGTATTTTCAGTGCTAAACTATAGAATATCAGATAGGTAAACAGTTTTGTAGGTGGTAATAAATCTGAAAAGATTGTATATGGTGGTGTATGAACTGTTCTTTGAAGGATGCACCACCAGGGCTTTGGCAGCTATGAGAGTCAGGATGTCACAATGGGGGAAAATTCAGGAGCAGCGATGTGAATGGGAATGAGCTTAGGCTGAGTGCATCTGTTTGTGTGAGTATGATTTAACTGCAGTGGAAGGATAGGCTTGAGAAATTGAACAAAATAAAGTTTGAAATGTGGAGTAAAGAATTTGAATTTGTTATAGATGTGGCAACCAAAGGTCCTAAATTCTCTGGACCATTGTACTAATCATATGAATCTTTATGTAGCACATTTTATGTGCAAAGCTCCCCCTTGTGGAGGCCCACTGGGTGTTTATACCTCAGTAAGGGTCATCGTATTCATCCAGTGAATGCAACGGTCTGTCATGTCCTCACAAATAAATTCCTAGAGTCAGACTGCAATACAGTGCTGGTTTGGAAGTGGCAATTGGAAATCTTTGGAGGTGCAGAATCAGAGCATGGCCACAACTTAAATGATGCAAATATTTTAAGGATTGTTCTTAGTATAGATTGAAGGGGCCTGGTTAAAGGCAGGAATAGTAATGCAGGACTGGGAAGCAGGTACTGTAAGACTTAACAGAATGGGTTGGAGGAGAAGGGTTTACATTTTTTTTTAAGATTTTTTATTTATTTATTTGAGAGAGAGAGAATGAGAGATAAAGAGCACGCGAGGAAAGAGGGTCAGAGGGAGAAACAGACTCCCCGCCGAGCAGGGAGCCCGATGCGGGACTCGATCCCAGGACTCCAGGATCATGACCCGAGCCAAAGGCAGCTGCTTAACCAACTGAGCCACCCAGGCGCCCGAGAAGGGTTTACATTTAAATGATTTATAATCTAGTGGTTCTGATTACAGAGTTAACTCCTTTCAGAATGTAAAAGCCTCAGTGCCCTTCCCAGATTTGCTGGATCTGAATTTTGGGGAGATGGGACCTCTAGATATATGTATATGTATGTATATTTAAAGCTCCCTTAGAGATTCTGATGTGTGCCTCTGGTTAGAAAACACTAAATGAATTAATGTGTGTTTTTTCCACCCCAGGAATTTGTCAAATTGTCTGAACCTACTGTTTTGAATCTTAATACACTTAATATGCATGTGTATGCATTTTTCTTTTGCATATTTTTTCATACTCTCTTCAGTTCCTGAAAAATTTTTTTCTGTTACTTAGTGTCAAGTTCTTTAACAAACTTATTAATTAACGTTACTCTGCAAAATCAATTTTGAGCAAATGAAATGCACTACAAAAGTTAAAAGAAATTTCTGCAACTTTTTTTCTTACTAAATGATAGGGACAAAAGCCAGGATGGATGATCAAATATGGTATTTGAGAACATCAAAGCTGGCTCTGGCCTTGGCAATTATCCGCTCAACACCAGCAGACACAAGCAGCAGAGAATATACAGAGCACCTTGCAAAGGTGGTGTCTGAGCAGGAGTCAACATGGAGATCAAAAGTTCAAGCCTTGGAAGCTGAAGTTCTGCAATTACGCCACAAACTTCTTCTGAGCAGGATGCATGCGGGAGTGTTTAAGAGTGGTGAGTGTATGAAAACGTCATTCTGGGTCTTTATTATTTTTTAAAAGACTTATTTATCCATTTTAGAGAGAACGAGCAAGTGGAGAGGGGAGGAGCAGAGGGAGAGGGAGAGAATCTCAAGCAGACTCAGTGCAGAGTGCTGAGCCCAACACGTGGCTCGATTTCATGACCCTGAGATCATGAGCTGAGCTACTAAGAATTGGTTGCCCAAGTGACTGAACCACCCAGGTGCCCCTTTATTGTTTACTTCTAATTTAATTTAATTTTTTTAAAAAATTGAGTATAGCTGACACACAATGTTACATTATTTTCAGGTATACAGTTTAGTGATTTGATAACCCTCTACATTATGCTGTATTCACCAGAAGTGTGGCTACCATCTCTCCCGTTATGCCACTATTACAATATCATTGACTGTGTTCCTTATGCTGTGCCTTTTATTCCCAGGACTTACTCGTTCCATCACTGGAAGGCTGTATCTCCCCCTCTCCCTCACCCATTTTGCCCAGTCTCCCAGCCCCCTCCCCTCTGGCAACCATCAGTTTGTTGTCTGTATTTATGGGTCTGATTCTGCTTTTTGTTTGTTTATTCTTTTTTTTTAGATTCTGTTTATGAGTGGAATCATATGGTATTTATTGTTCTCCGTCTCACTTATTTTGCTTAGTATAATGCTGTCTGGGTCCTTCCATGTTGCCTCAAATGGCGTGATCTCATCCTTTCTTATGGCTGTGTAATATTCCAGTGTGTGTGTGTGTGTGTGTGTGTGTGTGTGTGTGTGTGTGTGTGTGT